GAGATGCCTTTTGTTGTCCCCGCAGTGAGGGCAGCCAAATGGACAGCAGGGAGATAGAAACTGATAACATCTTGGCATGGCTGCCTGGCTTGTAAAGTTTTTCACCAGCACAGATCAGCATGTTGGGGGTGCTTTGTCCAGGTCTACAGAAGGTCCACATGACATAAAACACTACGAAACCTCTAACAAACACTAGACTTTTTCCTTTAGAAACTCCTAACGTTAGCGGCGGAGCTGCCCCTCTACTCTGCTCTGGTGAGACCTCACCTGGAGCCCTGTGTCCAGCTCTGGAGTCCTCAGCACAAGAAGGACATGGACCTGTTGGAGCGGGGCCAGAGGAGGGCTACTAAAATGATCCGAGGGCTGGAGCCCCTCTCCTAGGAGGCCAGGCTGGGAGAGTAGGGCTTGTTCAGCCTGGAGAAGAGAAGGCTGCGGGGAGACCTGATTGCGGCCGTTCAGGGCTTAAAGGGGACCCATAGGAAAGGTGGGGAAAATCTTTTTAAACATTCCAGGCCAGGTTGGACGGGGCTGTGAGCAACCTGATCTGGTTCAAGGTGTCCCTGCTCCTGCAGGGGGGTTGGGCTGGGTGACCTCTAGGGGTCCTTTCCAACCCAAAACATCCTATGATCCTAAGCAGCAAGGTGCCAGCAGCGGCTGGATAGGAAATGACACCTTTGCTCTCGGGCTGAACGACAGGCATCTGATTTCAGATTACCTGGTGGACCGGGGGATGAAGGAACCTCTTCCCAATGTTCGGTTACTTCCTAACACTAGTGGTCTTTCCGAGAGCATCACACTAAGCAAGAAGGGCAGAGCCATCCTTCACTGGCCGCAGCACCCCACTCATCTGCTTGCCAGCGACCATCCCAGCAAGCACCGAAGCCAGAAGCTTATGACATCCCCAGACTTGTTGCTGGAGTTCAGCAAGTTTCAGGTCAGACCCAGGTGCACAAAGACTGTTCTAGCAACCCCTTTCTGTGGCAACCCCATCTCTCCTGGGAGGGAATGGGGAAGAGGTGCACCCTCTGGCATTCAACTCTCTTCTGGGCACTAGGGAAGGTGGGGGTTTAGCTCTCTGAGCTCTTCTGGTGGTCAGTTCCCATCTCCTGCAGAAGAAGGATAATATAAGCAACTGGGGGGAAAACCTCCAGTGCTCCCCCCGGGGTACAACGAAAGCTGTGCCATCTCTTCTGCTCCAGAAGAAGGATAATATAAGCAACTGGGGAGAAAACCTCCAGTGCTCCCCCTGGGGTACAACGAAAGCTGTGCCATCTCTTCTGCTGGTGTGTCAGCAGCCGCCGGAGGGAAAACTGGAGCTGGCCTTCTGCCTCCCGTTCATTTGCAGTCTATTGAAGCATTAATTAACCTTCACGCCATTGAGGATAGGGGGAGAAAGCGGGTTACTTCAACCTGCAATTAGTGTGCCATGCAGCTTGAGCGATGGCAGGGTAAATCCTTGGAGAGGGGAAGAGCCGGTGGGAGTTTGGGAGGAGGAGGCGTAGGACCAGGGACCCTGCTTGCTGCTGAGAGGCAGTTTTAGGGAGGCATGACCAGGGCTGTTCCCGGGGGACCCTTCCAGGCTGTGTGAGCATCCAGCGTGCTCAGGAGCAGGGCCTGCCCATGCCCTAGCCCTGGCCGGGGTGGTGAACCCCCAGGTGAGACGTCAGGGAGGCAGTAATGTGCTCAGCATCACTCCCCATCCAGGCGGGACAGGGCTTGCCTGAGGAATGGAGAAACTATTTGCAAACTCCAGCATCTCTAGCCATACTTGAACACTGTGGTGGCCTAATTTTCGGATGGATCCTTCCATGGCAACTACTCCCTTGCTCTGGGCTAAACCCTGGCGAGTGGCTACATGATCAGGGGTTAAGAAGTTAAAGCTGCCTCTATCACCACCAGGTTTTGTGGGATGTTTGCAACGTTACTAAGCCGGGTACGATCGTGTACAGAGCGCAGCTCTGCGAGCCCCTGGGAGGAAAAAAGCCATCACAACCCCAAACTGCTTTTCTCCCTCTAGCAGGCACCATGTGTACAACAGCAGAGGTTGCGTAGTAACGGCAGCAGGAAGGCGTCAGCTCTGCCCTCCTCGCTTCCCGCAGAGCGCCGAGAAGAGCGAGGTACGTATCAGCAGCAAAACCGGGCTCCTAAAACTCCCTAAACTTTCTCCTCTGCTTCCTGGAGAGGAACACGTAGGGATTTTGAAGCTGTACATCGCAGAGGCTGCTTTGTAGGGAACAGCTGGTTGTGCTTAATTGAACTGTTGTGTGAGCCAGGGGGATGGGGTGTTTGTAGGAAGAAGAAACTGGGGGAGAAGCTAAGATTTTGGTGGGGGGGAGGAAGGGAGGCGACTCAAATACGTTGCCTAGAAAGCTCTCGGCACTTCAAAACCTTGCTTTGCTCTGTCTTGTGAAAGTCTGAACAAGCTTTTACTGGGGCTAAAAGTACTGGGAAACAATAGGGAGAGAAGGCCGGCAGCCGGAGGAGGAGGCAGCGAGCCCAGCGATGACGAACGCCTTCCAGCCGCGTCCTGGCGCTGGCACGGGGTGGGGATGGGGGGGTGCGGGCAGGCTGCCGGCCACTGGGGTTGGGTGGGTGCAGTGGCACGGGGAACGCCCGGGGAGGTCAACAGTCATGGCAGCAGCAAAACTCCGACGCACCCGCCCTCCATCGCCCTCACGGCTCCATTTCAAACGCCTTGGAGGAGAGGCCTTTATGCCGGGAGGGGCAGCTCGTCTGCTCGTCGACGTGTTGCACTAATGAGGGAGGCAGAACACGAGAGAAGGTGAGTCACGGATAGGACAGGAGAGAGGGACGGAGAGGGGGGACATCCCAGGCCCTCCAAGCTGGACCCCGCACACAGCGCTCCGGCAAGCTGGAAGTCAGGGAGACCACCGAGGAATGGATATTTTTGTTGTCATTCCCAGTCCCCAGTTCTGACCTCCCCGTGGCAGTACAAGGAGGGGGGGGGGCGCCCCATGACGCTCCGGGTCCCAGCACGGCGCAGGGGTTCCCCCCTCAGCCCGGGTGGGACACCTTCCCATTTAGCATTTGATCCTCCCATCCCTTGCGCATCCTCTTGCTACAGGGATTTCCCCCTCTCCTGTCTTGTTTCCTGCAGATCCCAGCGCTCCTGCTCCGGGGGGAGAGAGGGGTGGATGGGGAAAAGGGGCAACAGGGGAAGGAGGGAAAGGGAGGAAAAAGAGGAAAAGAGAGAAGTGGGGGAGAAGATGAAA